CCTAGGGGCTTGAAGATAGATTCCTGTTTATTTCCTTAAGCAGCTCTATTCATAGCCTTCAAAAGCTGCCAGCCCGCATCCGTTAGGCCCAAGAGGACTCCAAAGTGCATCCTAGGTAAACACCAGGAGGAAGCTGGTACTGCCAGGAGTGAGCCCTGTTTGCTGCCCTTCTCCCTTGGCAGCTTTAGTCCATCTTCTGAAAGTCAAAGGCACATCTCCAGTTAAGGTCTTGAGCAAAAGCAAAGTCAGGCTGAGAGACCAGACTGTAACTCAGGCACACAACGTGTTCAGGATGAACAGAGGACACCCCACGGCAGCAAGGGAGAGGTCCCTTTATGAAAGGCAATGAGGTACTTTGGATGGATGTTGGAGGCATTGGATGAGGACCAAGCTCAGCCAGGCTGGATGTGGCCAGGCTGTGCACAGAGCTTCAAAGTGGCTGAAGACCTGTCCCATCTGCTGGTGCCCGGTGTGACGGCTCCAGGCAGTGCTGTGGGGACGTGGTGGGGCTATAGCCAGAGGGGTTATCCCAGCCACCAGCTCTGGGTCTAGCTAGAGGCAGTGCCCAGCTGAAGTGTGCAGACCCAAAGCCCAGGAGAGGCATCCAGGGCAGTGCAGAGGGAGCTGTGGCACACAGAGCTCCCTACTTGAACCACTGCTGAGGAAGGTGATGGATTTTTTTCCCTCCCTTTCTTTGGGTTCAGTTTGGTTTCAAGGAGGACAGATAATTTCACCCAAGCCTGAAGCCCCACGTTTCCCAGTGAGTGAGATTATCATTGCAGGGGTAGTTTGAAAGAGGTGGGGGAGAGATCCCTCCCATGGGAAATGCCTCCCAGCAGGGACCCCAGGGGACAGCTGTGAGAGCTCACACACACCATGGAAAGAGCAAGCTGTCCCACAAGGAGCATGCCCTGGCTCTGCAGCTGCTCCCAGGTCATGACTCACTGCACAGCCATGCACAGCTGGGTTTCCACCCCCTGTCCTGCAAGCCTCTGGTTTATGGCTGAAATTCTGCAGTGACATCCACTGTTCCTTCTCTGACTGCTTCTGACAGAGACAGCACCCTGTTTGCCTGCAACACCCCATTGAGCCAGCTCACCTCCAGTCCATATGCGGAGCACTGAGGCTCAGGCTCTCCTGGTGCAGGCATTGGAAGACACCTTGGCTGGGTGTCTGTCTGCTGCTGAGGCACCAGTCCTACTGCTGAGCATGGAGGGACAGTCCCACCCCACTCTGGAGAAGTCCCTGACCCAGACAGGACAAAGACAACCACCCTTAGGCAAGTTCCCAGGACAGTATGGGTCCATCCTGTGCAGCTGGTGCTTCCAGTGGCCATGCATCTGCTCGGTGTGAGTCCTCAGAGCACAGCCTTTCTGCCTCTGATCTGCTTCTGAAATGGAAAAAACCAGAAACCCTGCTGCAGAACCTGCTGACACACTCCCAGCTAGCAGGAGAGCTGGGACATTCCTGGGATAAGCAGATTCCTGTCTGCTCTGCACTTACCCGTCCCACTCGCCTTTTTCTGAGCTGGGTGCTGGGTCCCCACCCCAGGGCCATTGCCTTTCCTCACACTGCCCCGTGCCTGTGAGGAGCTCAGCCTCCAGCCACACACCCAGAGAGGAAGAATTAGTAAAAGACATTCCCGCAGTGGTTCCAGGGCATCCTGTTTATTTATGTGCACTTCGGGTTCATTGTTTTGCAGCAGCACCCACCAGAAATTAGAGCAGAAATATCCTCTCCAGAAAAACACATTAAAGAATGCTTCCCAGAGCAGGGAGAAAGGCAGGCTCCTTAGGCTGACAGATTTGTCAGTAGGAGATGGAAGGATTATTAATCCACACTTGTATCACTTCCACCAAGCTGCTCACTCACGTTTCTCTCCTCTTGCAGCAGGTTTGTTCCCCTCTTGAAGAGCATCAGGATTTTCTCAACTGCACCAGCCCAGATCTTCCTGACCTGGCTTAAAATGGGATGAAGAAATCTGGATTTTGAACTGGGGTTAGCTGGAGTTCAAACCTCAGCCCTGCCAACCTCTTGGCTTCACTGTAGACAGAGTTCAAGCCTCCAGGGGTCTTGTCCTGTTTGCTGCTCCCACCCAAGCTCGTGCGGTGGGTTGAGCTGGGAGCGAGCCCTGGGAGCCCTGGGGTGCATCAGCACTGAACCACCCTGCTGGCAACGGCTGGAGAGCCTCAGCTGGACCTGCTGGGGGGCTCCTGGGGCTGATGAGGCCCCTTGGGCAATCTCCTGCCCATCCAGTGGCCCAGATGGCACCAGATGTCCTTCTAAGCATGTGTGAGGTCCGCTTTTCCTCCTGGCAGCCTGACACCAAAATCTCCTCCTTGGAAATCCCACTAAGCCTTGTAAGTGCGGAGGGGACTTTTCAGGACTTTCTTTGCAAGCTCTTGGTTGTGCCTGGAGCTTCTTAAAGCTGCCAAGAAGACAGAGCCAGGCAGTCACTGCAGCTCTCGTTTTCCTCTCCCTGTGACCCCCGGCCCCACTGCTGGCTCACACGCCCGGGCCTGGCAGCGTGCCCCTCACAGGACACAGGACCTGGCTGTCCCCACCACTGGCAGGGAGGACTGGGAGGACCTCTCCTCCCTCCCTCCCACCCGCCCAGGGCTCATGGTGGGGGCTGGGGGGCCAGCCCAGATGTGACTGCATCACTGCAGCACACTGCAAGTCCAGGCTCTGAGCCGCCACGTATCTGAAGAAATCCAAGTTATAATTATCTTCCTGGCACTGTCTTTGCCTAAGCCCTCTTCTGAGGGCTCAGCTTCAGGCTGCAGTGAAGAGCAGTAAGCAATTGCCACGTTGTCAGTTAGAAAAGATGTGGGGTTTTTTTCTCTTCTTTTTTTTTTCCTTCCCCTAAAATTTTTTCCAGATGTCTCTTTTTCTTTTTTTTCCTGAGGAGAAGCACCAGCAGCTGTATGATTTCAATGCGAGCCGTGACTAATCCAGTGCAGAGAGCATTCAACGAGAGCTTTCAGCTCCTCGGGGTGTGAATCAAGCAAATGAAACTTTGGCTTAGGGGACGTGGGACCTCTGGAGCCAAACTGGACCTCTGAGTGGCACAGAGCTGCATGTGAGAGCTACGGACACTTGTGGTAGGAGGAGAAGATGCTCCAGATGCCACAGGCTGTGTTAGAAGAACCCAGGGGGTCTTAGACACTGTGACAAAACTGGCCTCCACATGGAGCTGAGAGGGACACGGGGGGTATTTATGGATGCCTCTGTGAGCAATATCAGCACCCAGGGGTGGCTTTTGAGTGGTGTGCAGCCAAGTAGAGAAATGGGTGAAAAAGACTTTCTTCTCTTGTTCCTTGCCACCAGCCTCGCAGAGCTCAACCATCTCACTGGAAAGTGTTGATGGTTTATCACAGATCCCTTCCCTACCTTTCCCCTCCCCTTTCTCTTTCTGTTTTGTTTAATTTTTGTTTCTTCTTGGCTCTATGTATGTTTAGTCTTACATTGGTTTCTTTCACATCCAACAGAAGTGCTGTGAGGACAGATGGGGACTGAGCTGATAAAGAATCACAAACCATGAAGTAACAGGCACCCTACAGAGCGAGGAGCCAGCAGAACACTGCAGGTCATGGCAGCCCAGTTCCTCTGCTGACATCTAAATCCTCAGCAACATCAGTGGGAAGAGTTAAGCACCCAGACTGGTGTCTCAGCCCCTCAGAAAGATAGCGGATAATCATGAGGAACAAACCCAAACCCCAGGCAGCCAAGACAAAACACAATGCTGCATTTCATTGTGGTCTTGGGTGTCCTTCACCCAGCATCTGCCATCAGACTGCTGGGCTTGTCCTCAGTCCTGCTGGCTACACCAGCCACCATCTTTCCAGCAGCCCCTGGAGAGCAACCTTGCATGGCCCTGAAAGGGGTGGGGGTTGGTGCCATGGTGGCTCACAAGCTGCAAAGAGCTGGACTATCTACAGTACTCAGGACAGTCCTGTATGTCATGGAGACACTCTTCAAGGATGCCCAAATTCCAGCCCAGCTGCTGGTTGTACTTTACAATGCACGCTGTGGCTGTGCTGGTGCATAAAGGTGTGCTGTCTGGTTCTCCAGGGGAGAGATGAACCTTAAATCCTCTCAGTCATGGTGAGATGCAAGGAGAGAGGAGCTGGATTTTCACCTGAGCGTAGAGAAGAGCAGATGGAGAAAGTTAACTCCAAAGAGCTTTGCTGTCTGGCTGCATCTGGCTGGGCAGCTCTAAGGTCAAACTACTTGGTGATGTCTGAAGAGACCATCAGCTTCAACTGACCAGCAATTTTGGCTGAGGCTTTTGCTCAGTAAGGCCAGGTCTGCTGGAGAATAACCACAGCAGAGAGACCAGTCTGCTGAGGGTCACATCTCCCAGCCCAGCATTTCTCAGCCTCCTTGGAGCATAGTTCAGACATGTCATAACTCTCCACATTCTCTGGATCATTCTTTCTTCACCAGGGAAGACAGTCCCTGATGGCAGCAGTGTTAGGAGAGAGGATGGAGGGGTGAGGATTCTCCTGCCTCCCTCTGCATCCCCCTGAGGATGGGAAACACCAGCCCAGGGACTGAACTGCTGAAATGACAGCATTGAACATTCTGATTGCAGGAGGCCAAGGTGTTAGGAGGTGCACAAACCAAAGAGAGGGATGGGATCCCTCCCTGCTCCCCCACGCCGTTAGTCCGAGAGAGCCCGAGAACTGCCGCACTCGCTGCAGCAGTGCAGTGCAGGCAGCTGCTGTGACACGACTCTGCTGGGAGGGTTGTACTGGGGACCAACCTGTCCCTGAGACAGACCCCTCCTTGATTTCCACCCAGCTTGATTTCTCTGGTCTACCCCTCTTGGACCCGGGCTGTGCCTCAGCCCCTGGGACTGCCCACTGGGGAGAGAGGAAAGACCAATTTGGAAAGATAGCAAGGAGGAGGAGGAGGAGAGGCAGCGGGAAACCCAGCCCACCCTTTGGCTTCCTCCTGCCTCCCTCTAAAACCTGCAGATTCCTCCAGCCTGTCCAAGCGCCTGGAGCTGCCTCAGCCCTGCTGCCGGGACTGCGAGGTATGGCCGAGAGCTCCGCGGTTGCCTTTGCTCTGCTGCTTCTCCCGGCGTGGGGGTCCCACCAGCCCCAGTGTGAGGAGCCCTGGATGCATTCAGGGACCCCCTCCCTACTTCTCTTTCTCCTCTTTGCAGCATCTCTGCTCCTAAATTGAGGCTGTTGCTGGATTCACTGCCAGGTTACTAACCTTAGCGCTTCGGGGGCATCTGACTGTAAAGGTTTAACGTGCCCTAATTTTTCTCTCACCTCCCTTTTCCCCCTCTGGGTTTGCAGTTGTGGGGTATTTGCTCAGCGAGGTGTGTGAGACCAGTGTCTGGGCACATCAAACCAACCTGCAGAGCAAATCAGATCTAGTTTCAAACCGCTCTCGATTACTCCCAGCCCGAGGTGTGTTGGCAGGTGATGTTTTACTCACCAGCCCATCTAGAGGAGGAACAAAAGAGCCGTCGACTTCATCTCAGCGTTTTTATTTTTTCAGTACAACCACTCTTATTTCTCCTGGGGAAAAAGAAAAAGACACTGAACTTTTTGTTCCAAGCAGACTTGGAAACCATTGCAAGTCCTGCTGCCCTGGTTTGCTGAACTCCATCTCGTTAACTCTTAGTGAGACGGAGGTTGCAGGAGAGGAGGAACCGAGCTCTTTTTGGGTGCTTTGTTAAAAAACTTGGAAGTACTTGGGCTCAGTCAGGCTTGATTTTAGGTCCATGTAGAAAAGCCATGGGCTTGTTTCCTTTAAAGGCAGCCGCTGTCCTTCCCGTCCCGGTGATGGTGACGTGCTGGCAGCTCTGCTCTTTGTGTCGCTCTTCTGAAAAAGCTCCACGCCTTTGCATCCAGCCGAGAAAAGGAAACATAACAGGACGGGGGCTGAATTGCCACCCAAACCAAAAGGCAACAGTTTCGAGTCGGAGTGAAATCGGGGGCACCGGGAAGGTCGCCAGTGCTCCGAGCCCTCAGTTACCACTAGCTTGGAACAGCCCAAAAACTCAGCAGCCCTCCGAAAGCACAGAAGTGAATCGCAGCCGTGGGTTAGGTCGGGCGGGCGAGTTTTAAGTGGACAGAAAAGGCTGCAGCATTCCACGCAGCAGTGCAAGCCAAGCTATTGTCTGCCACATCGGCAGGAGCGGGGATGCGGGCGGTGTTGGGAGGGGGAAGAGGAGAAATACACTTTTCAAACTTTTTTTCCAAACTCCTCCTTCCACAAGCCTCGGCTCTTCCATGACTCAGCCCCAGAGGAATGTCGGCTCCCATGGAAACCCTTTCTGGGTCCCATGGTCGGAGGGATGTCGGGGCTGTTATCGCGGAGCGGCTGTGGCAGGGCGAGTCCAGGGAATGCTTTGGAGATGGTTTGCATTTTTGCACCATATGTAGCAGGGGGTTTTGTCTCTCTCTGCTTTGTGGAGCTGTGTGAGACCAGCTCACCACGTCCCCCAGGAGCCAGGGGGACTGCTTGCACCTCACACGGAGGTTCCCAGGCACTGCCCTGTCCCCGCTCCAAACAAAAGCAAAAGCTCAGGCAGGACAGCAAAGTGCTCTCTGTCCTTTCCTTCCGACTGAGTTCTGCAAAGGGCTCATCAGTCAACCCCTGCTTGCAGCCCGGCTCTCATCCAGGCACTTTTCTTGGTACTCTTTTAATTCTTTCCCATTATGGATGCAATTTGCAACCTAGACAAACTCTGACAGCCTCAAGCCAGCCCACACTGGAGTGGTGTGTGGGCTCTTGCCCACCTATCAATAACCCTTGTAAGATCTGCAGCGTATCTAAGTGCAATCAGAGCAGCTCAGGTCCCTGGGAGGGGAAGGGGTTAATACAGCCTTGTGGCACAGACCACACGGGCAGGTGTGGGAGGTAGATTTTTTCCCCTGTATTTTATTTGGAGTATGTAAGTGCATGCATGAGCTAAAGGGAATTTGACTCCCACCTAAACCCAGCTTAGCTTTCTGAGCCTGCACGCTGTGCGTGAGGGGACAGTGCAGGTGGCAGGAGCCAGGCTGGCTTCTGCTCAGTCCTCTGCTCCCCTGGCACCCAGAGCAGCTGCAGCACATCTGGGCAAGGTGGCATCCCTGGCAGCGTGGCCCAGACACGCAGGGGCCTGCTCAGCAGGGAGCTTTGTGGGGACTCACGTAGAAACCTCCAACTTCAAGTGGGACTTTAGCCTTGGAGTGCCTGGCTGAGTAAAGCTCAGAGGGTCTTGCTGGCACAGGGAGGTCAGGGCCAGTCCACGGGGTCCCAGCCCTCGCCTTGTGTCTCTGGGGTGGCCACACTTGGCTGCCCATCTGCACCCTTGAAAACTATGTCCCACGGCAGGGTTTGTAGGCAGAAGCTTTGCCTGGGGCAGTCCTGCCTTTACATTCAGCCCGAGGTGCTGGGGCACGTCAAACCCTGCACAGCCTTGGAAGAGCAAGGAGCAAGTGGAGGGTGGGTGCAGGAGACCCTGCTGCTGGGGCTGGCTGCCTCCTGTGGGGCCAGGCGGGGGTGCAGTGGAGAGCTGAGACACAGGGCGGGGGTTGCCCCACCATTACCCGTGGCAATGCTCTCCACAGCAGGGCCCCTCACCCTGGCTAGCACTGGAGGCAGCTGGGATTGTCCCAATGGCCTCAGGGAGGAGCTGTCAAAGTGGCCAGGCAGAGACTCCTCCCCACGCTAACGTGGCATCCCGAAGGGCTTATGCAACCCTGGCCAGGGCCAGCGCCACATGGGCCACGCTCCATCATCCACGGAGCCTCCTCCAGAGGCTGCACCCCCCTGGTCCTTGTCCTCCCCCAGCCTGCAAAGGTCTCCAGATTGGGCAGGAGGAGACAAGAGGGACCAACAGAACCCAGTGGCACAGACCTTCCTCTGTGCATCACTATGGGGTGTTTTCCCCAGCAAGGGAAACTTATGCTGGTGCTACAGGATTGGGAGAACGATGGCAAAGAGTTGCCAGAGTAGCCTGCTTTGAATTTATGTAGGTGCTGAGGGTCAGTCTCAGATCTCTGTCTACAGCCCATGGCTCTCATTAGGGACATGTCTGCAGAATGCAACGAGCAGCCAGTGCTGGGGGATAGCTCGGGCCATGCTGGAGAGGGGAACCACTGAGGGGGGTCTGTGGGAGCCACAAGACCCTGCTCACACAGCAACTGGGAGCTGAAGTCCCCACTTAGGATGCAAGTGGGCTCAAATGTTAGGAAGGCAGTTCAGGCCATGGGTCTTGCACCCCATGAGTGCCAGGCTGTCTTCTCCACCCAGCTGCCAGCTTTGGAGAGCACCCTCTTGGGCAGCAGGACCACGATAGGTCCACAGGGAGGGAGACTTGCACCACGGGCCAGGTTCTCCTGCCAGAGCAGCTCTGTGCACAGGCCTCCCGAGCCCTTTCAGAATTCAGGACTTTTGTCCACCAGGCATTCAGGAAAGACCATGCCTTTGCAAAACAGACACTGCAATGTCCTCTGTGCACAGGCTCTGCTTCCAGGAGGACGTTGTTTTTCAAATAAACTTGTTTTCCCATCTCCGGCGTGAGACAGCTCTGCAGAGCTTGTTTGCTCAGACTTTTTCATGCTCCTTCTTTCTCCAAACACAACACTGGCAGCTCTGACTGTCTGCTGGCTCCTAGCAAGCATGTAATTCCCTGACCCCAGCTTACTGCATGCCCAGACTTTGAAGTTCAGGGGGTTTTGGAGGCTTGGGGAAATGATCTGAGATGGCCTTGGTCTGAGGCTGGATTCTTCTTAATACCAGCTTCCACATGCACAGCCCTCTCCTCCAGGCAGGGCACTGCCATGGTGCTCCCCAGTGAGCATCACTGAACCTCAGAGCACCTTCCAAAGCAAACAAGCCCCTTGGGAGAAGCCCAGGAGGAGCCTTTTTAAGCCAGGGGATGACAGCAAGGGAGGAGGTGGCTGGCTTCACCAGTACTTTTCCACCCCCTGCTCCCAATCCACCCCTTCACAAGTGAAGAACCAGGGATCTGTCCTGGCAGATGCAGGAGAGCTCTCAGCAGCCTCCAGAGCAAATAAAGGGGAGGGGAAGGGACAGAGTGTACCGAGCAGGAGAGGAGGCAGCTGCTCAGCTGCAGCCTCACAAGAGCAAAGGGGCTGATCCACCCCCCCATGCAGCCCCTCTCACCACAGATCCTCCATCCACCAAAGCAGCCATCCCCACCACCCCAGGAAGCTGCTGCCTTCCGTGCCCTGACCCCTCTTTTCATTGGCTGAGGCACTGAGACTGGAAGAAGGATTTTAACCTCCCCCTTTAACCTTGCTAAATTCAGAATCTCAGCCCAGCCTGGCTGGTGCCCGGTGCCCCGTTTCTGTGGTTTTAGACCCAGCGACTCCCGCGTGGGGAGGAAGGGAAAGGATGCATGGGCAACTCCATATCCATCCACCCAGAAGAAGACACCTTATCCATCCCAGCAAAGCCATCCAGGCTCCCGGCCCCTGGGATTCGGGGGGCTGAGATGCTCTGGCCATGCAGGTGGGGTGGAGAAGGGCGAGCGGAAGGGAGGCAGCGGAAGCCTTGGCAGGGGGACAAGTCCCCTCGCTGGCAGGAGACAGTCTGGGGGTGTTCTGCTCTCCTGGCAGGCGGAAGGGAGAGGGCAGCCCTCGCTGGCAGGAGCAGGATGCCACTGGAATATTAAACGGCCAGCTGAGCTCCCCTCTGCACTCACACAGAGGGGCTCAACGCTGCCAAACAGGAATGAGAGGGGGGGACAAGGACAGGGCGATGCCACCAGCTGCACTCTCCTGGCTTGGATCATGGCTGGTGTTAGCTGGGCTGGCTGCCTGGCTCCTCCTACAGAGTCCCTGCAACAGCCCAGATCCTGAGGGTGCACAGGGCTCCTCGGGCCTCCTGGAGCTCATCTCCCAGCAGGAAGCAACCCCAAAGTGTGTTGGATCCCTCAAACCCAGTATAGGGACCCTCAGGTTTGAGCAGGAAAGGAGAAAACTATAGTAGAGACTCCAACAAGTGGGGGTGCTGGGGATGGGGGACTGGTCCCTGATGCTCCTAGAGATGTCAGTGTCCATCTGGGAAGGGGGTTCCTAAAGGATTTAATTCTCAAGTGCCCTGTCTCACCATCCCTCTGTTATCTCTTTCCTTCCTCCATGTTAATTTTCCCTCTGACTGACAAATAAAATGGTGGGGTTTTATTGCTTGTACCTGGGCCTCATATCAGGGACTTTTAACATGAAAAATGAGGGGGAGAGGAGGGTTTTTGTCAAAAAAAATACCCAGTCCTCCTGTGAAGGAAAGGGGAGCTGCCAGTTTGACTGCAATTTTCCTAAAGACATCTAGGAAAGCAACAAAAATCTGAACTCCCACCATCCCACTTTGCAACATCAAAGGAATTTGTCTTGGAAACTTGATTTGGCTGAAGGTTTTGGCTAGAAAAGGCAGCGTGTGGTTCTGTAATATCAAACAGACAAGGCAGGAAACAAAGAGAACGCCCTTTTCTAGATGTCTGACTGCCAGTGGTGAGCTCAGCCCAGAGCTGAGCAGCACGTAGAGGCCTCCTTCCTTATCTCTCCTTCTCCTCTCCTTTATTCAGGGCTTGCTGAAAGATGAGGGCCTGGATTTTTTTCCTTCTCTGCCTGGCAGGCAAAGCCCTGGCAGCTCCGGTAAGTAGGGAGCCCATGGAGCCCCTCTGCTGTTGGGGTTGTCCATCTGAGGTATCTGAGGGGGATTTGCTTCTATAACAAAAAAAAACCAAAACAAACCAAAAAACCCTGAGGGATGGGGGGCAGCAGAGGGAGAAGAAACCCAAAGGTGGCCCTAATTCCTGTCCCAGCTTGTCTCCCCCCCTTGGAACCATCCTCCTCACGGAGCACAGCTCATGGTCCTTTTCCCCCACAGCAGGAGGCCCTGCCCGATGAGACAGAGGTCATTGAAGATCCTACCACAGAGGTAGGTGACTCTGCTCCTCACCCACCCCTTGGAGAAGCACCTCTGAAGCATGCAGGGGCAATGGGGAGACTTCTCAGACCCCAGGAGCTGGGGCTGACCTCTTGGTGCACCCCCACCAGAAACACCGACCTCTTTTGCAGGAGCCCGTGGGGGCTAACCCCGTCCAGGTGGAGGTGGGAGAGTTTGAGGAAGCCACAGAGGATGTAGAGGAGATTGTCGCAGAGAGTAAGTTGCTCTTCCCCTGACCCTCCAGCAGCAAAGACATCATCCCTTTCCTGGGTGGGGGAGCTTTAGCCCCCCCAAACAGTGAGACATCTTTTGCAAGGGCTGTAGCATGAGGACAATGCCAACCTAGATGCACAGTCAAAAGCAAAAGAGGTGTATGGCCTTTTTCCAGCACTGGATTCCCTGCAACCCTTTTTTTATAAGAGAGAAGCCACTGCATTATGTTGCTCCAGAAAGGAGTCCAGAATTATCCCAAGCTCTAAGATGGGCTTCTAGAAACCCTCACGTGTTGCCAGTGCAGGGAGAGGTGCTGGGGGCTGTCCCTGGTGAAGTGTCTGTCTCCTCTTTGTGCTGAGATGCCCTGGGAAGCTCGTGGGAGGTGAGGATGGGGCAGACTCTGAATTTGCTCCTTGCCCTCCCCTAGACCCCTGCCAGAACCACCACTGCAAGCACGGCAAGGTGTGTGAGGTGGATGACAACAACTCTCCCATGTGTGTGTGCCAGGACCCCTCCAGCTGCCCAGCCACCGCCGGCGTCTTCGAGAAGGTAAGGGCAGAAGCTGCTTGGTGGACTGGCGTGGGGAGGGACCCCTCATGGGACACTGCCAAAGATGGTGGAGGAGACAGAGTGGCAGGTCTCCACCTGGCCTCATCTGTCGGTGACCAAGGAGCCATTGTCCACCCCAGGAAATAAGTTAGACATCTCATTTAGGGGCTCTCCCCGCTGACTGCCCCAAGCCAGGCTGGGCTTTGCTGCCTCTCACGCAGCATCTCCCCACCCTGTGCAGGTCTGTGGCACTGACAACAAGACCTACGACTCCTCCTGCCATTTCTTTGCCACCAAGTGCACCTTGGAGGGCACCAAGAAGGGACACAAGCTGCACCTGGACTACATTGGGCCTTGCAAATGTAAGTGAAGCTATTCCCTTAGGCCAGGGGACCCCTAAACTGAGTACAGCCTCCTTGCCCATGGGCTGAGGGAGAGCAAAGGTCCAGGGCTGGGGTGGGAGGGATCTGGGGCTGCCCGTCCACATGCTGCACTGACCAGTGGGAATTGCTCCCAGTCATCCCTGCCTGCCTGGACACAGAGCTGAGCGAGTTCCCCCTGCGCATGAGGGACTGGCTCAAGAACGTGCTGATCACCCTGTACGAGCGCGATGAGGACAACAACCTGCTGACCGAGAAGCAGAAGCTCAAGGTGAGAGACTGGGGAGGAAGCTGGGGAGCTCACCCCACCAGCAGAGCCCAGCACACATGGGGAGCCACAATGACCTGTGGGCACCCCAGGTAAAGCCCTTCCTGGGGTCCACCCTTGCACCCCCTTGCCCTGCTGAGAAGGTCTCCCCGGCCTCTCCTACTACAGGTGAAGAAGATCCACGAGAACGAGAAGCGCCTGGAGGCTGGTGACCACACTGTGGAGCTGCTGGCCCGTGACTTTGAGAAGAACTACAACATGTACATCTTCCCCGTGCACTGGCAGTTTGGGCAGCTGGATCAGCACCCCATTGATGGGTGAGTTTGGCAGAGAAAGATAGGGGACCCCACCAGGACCTTTTCCTGCCCGAGGACCAGGGTGATTTGAGAAAGTGTCAAGCCTGGGACACTCGTGGGTGGCTGGTGGCAGAGACACAGGCAAAGCCCTATGGAGGGACAACCGCTGCACGTATCTGGCAGGGGCTGAGGCAAACCCCCAGGCTGTGGCCCTTGTTACCTCTGCGAAAGGAGAGGCCCCCCCCAGCCCCAGCTGCTCCCATCTCCCTTCGGTGTGGAGTTTCTCTCTTCTCAGATTTACTGTCGTATGATAGTTCCCTAAAATATCTTAGTCCAAAAGCTCCAGGCTCATTCCAGCAGCTGAAAGAGCAGCTGCTGGCTTAGTTACGAGCTGGAGATGGGCACGAGAGCCACCACACACACAGCCCCTGGGGTGGGGGCAGCCAGCGAGGACCCCCAGCTGCTGGCTATGTATGACTAGCACAGCCAATTGCAAAAGCAGACACCAGTCCTCGACCTTCACCACACTCAGTGGTGGGCACTGGGACAGCAGTCAAACCAGCTGGAGAGCTGAGGCCAGCACCCCTCCCTGCGCTGGCCCCTGCACCCAGCAGAGCATCTCCCCCACCACGGGAGGGCGGCTGGTGCTGGTGGGCAGCACGCTGACCTCGGTCACCTCGGCAGGTACCTGTCCCACACCGAGCTGGCCCCGCTCCGTGCCCCCCTCATCCCCATGGAGCACTGCACCACCCGCTTCTTCGAGGCCTGCGACCTGGACAACGACAAGTACATTGCCCTGGAGGAGTGGGCCAGCTGCTTCGGCATTAAGGAGCGTAAGTACCGAGCGGGGAAGGAACAGGGGTGGGAGGGACACCAAAAAGCACCCCCAGGGCCCCCACTGGGGATGCAGCAATGCCTCACAGCTGGTCCTGGGAAGGGAAGAGGTGGGGAGAGTGGGGAGGAGCATCCCATCAGCAGTGGGACCCTGGCAGCATCCGCCTCCTAACCTCGTCTCTCTCTTTTTCCTTCCACAGAGGATATAGACAAGGATCTTGTGATCTAAGCCCCCGGCTTCCTTCTCTGCTGCCAACTTTGTCTTGTTTTATCCTTCCCACTTCCTTTGGTTCTTAAACCGCTTTTGTTTTGTTTTTCCCTGGGAACAAGGTGCTAATATAGATCTAAACATAGGTAGCAATGGTGCTGAGAGAAATAACAGTCCTCCTTCCTAGCCTCATCTATTACCACTAGATTACTCACCCAGCTGTTTCCACCACGCTCCTACAGCCCCTTTCTCTCTCTGACGTGCTTTTACCATTGACTGTCCCCGTCCTAAACATCCGTTCCGTCTCAATATCCACTCTCAGATCAACTTCTATTAACTTCTCACTAACACCACGTTCTTGGACACGTCAGCGTGGACCCCTCAGCCTATTCCCCACCCCCAGTTGGAGACCAGCAGCAAGGGAAGAGCTGCAGGGTGTAGGAGGATTGGGCTTTTCCAGCAGAGCCGCTGCAGGTGACGTTGCAGCCACCCAGTTCATGCTACAGGGGATGGAGAAGGGTGAGAAAAACAGAGTGGCAGGATTCTTTTTCCTTTTTTGTTGTTTTTTTTTTTTTTTTATTCCCAAGGCTTGAATTTAACAATCATTTGAGACACAGGAAAAAAAAAAAAAGTCTAATTGAATGAATAAATAGGAAAGCACACAGAAATTAAAACCAAGCAGATGAAACACATCCCATCCTGTAAAACCCCCTGAAAAATAAAGGTTTGAAAGTGCTCCGTGCTTTACCATTAACAACTGTACTGCTGTTGTGTTTTCTGTGCTGCAAAGGGAGACCGGGTGCGGGCGCCGGATCCCCTGGGGTGTGCGTGGCTCTGACCTTGCTGCTGCCAGGATAAAGCTCTTGGCTCTCCCCAGGTCATGGTGCCCTTGAGCACTTCCCACCTCTGCCTTGGTCATGCTTAAATTCCAGCCCTGCCCTCCCAGGGAAGGTGGGGCAGGCTTGGAAGGGCCATTTCTGCTCAGAAGGAGGTGGGTTTGCCACACACTCAAAGGAAAGGCTGTAATATTTTTGTCCTGTTGTGGATTTTGGGGGCTTAAGGGATGGGCAGCAGGGAAGGGTGAAGGTGTTTGGATTTTGCTTTACAGAGGGGGTCCTGACAGGAGCAAAGGGATGGTTAAGTCTCACAGGCTGAGAACTA